TGGAAACCATCCCTGTCTGTGCTGTGCACAGGTTAACCATGTAACCTACAGGACGTTGCAAAAATGACAATGGGAGACTTCCGATGCTGGATCATGACAGACACTGCAGAACATGCCTTGCTCTTTCTTGAATTAGTTGCCCTGAGGGAAGTCATTTCCAATAGGGTGCAAAACTGGAACAGCCTGATGGGAAGGTCATTAGGGTAAATGTAGCCTCCCGCCAGCCAACAGCCATCTTCAAAGAAATGACAAAGTTCCTAACTGAAAGTTGATAATAAAATTTTTTAATGCACATTGAGATCGCTATGCTAACCATTAAGAGTATAGTAAATAAATGAAATCTAAAAGGCTAAGGATATAAAAATTAAATATTTACCTGTTCAACTCAAGAAAGGAAAAATAACAAAAAGCGCAGGGTCAAGAGAAAGCAACAAGATGGGACTCAACCACTTCAGAGTATCACACACAGCATTTATAAAAGTGCCCTAAATATTCCAAAAATAAACCAAAAGCTCAACAGATAGATACAATTACAGGAAGTAATTAATATATTTAACAATATTTAACAAAATAGCTCATCCATGAAACAAGATGAGAATTTAAATAAAGAAAAAGAAAATCAACCTTGGAAGTTAAGGATGTTACAGAATTTCTCACCTAGTTCACAGCTTCATAATCCCTGGGCAACCCACTAAAGCCTGATCACCTGAGAAAGTTCCTGTCACAAGCACAATTACAGCAGTTAAAGTCTCAATGTTATCAAACTATTGCTAGCCACTATAGCATGAGTTCAAACCCCTGCCAGGGAGCTAGCTGACCCACGGAGCATAGCAGACCTCTCTTTTCTCATCTATTGCTCCCCTCAGCAGTGTATTTCAGTAGATCTGCCTGTTCTGCCCCCCACTCTATCACAGGTGAATCCTCTTATGCTCCACCTTGCACCTCTGCTCTACACCCCAAATTGTCTATGCATAAATAAGTAAAATAAATATTTTTAAAAACCATTCACATAGTATAAATTTCCTTTTACATCTCCGCTACAGGGACTATAGGTAGGTAGGAGACTTTGCTTCCCAAGATTTATTGCTATCTCTAAATGGACTTTAATCCTTAAGGTCCAGAACTGGCAGAAGACTAAAATTGGCCAGTTAAAGGGGCTTCCAGAGGTCAAATGAAAACGATCTTTCACTTTCTGTCTCAAACCAGTGACCACAAACACACCTGTGTTTATTTCACATTTCTGAACAGTAGTTGGAACAGACGAACACATTCTGCAGAGCCCCACCATGGTTCCTCAACTCCTGACATCAGGATCTAATCATAATCCCTAAAACTATCTCTCTTGAGAGATAGTAAAACAAGAAATAAGACCCTACCCTTGAGGAATTGTTGAGATTGAGGTCACCATTCCTCAGTACACACTGACTGCTAGAGAAGATCAAAGCTCATCCTGCCACCTGCTGTCTAGCTAGCAAGATGGCAAATGCATTTATAACTTTCTGAATTAATGAAGAAATATGAGTTGTGGCTGGCAATAACTCTGGCACTATTAGACCTCACACAACTTCCCATTCCATGACAGACAGAGCCATGGTCATCTGCAGCCTCCAGGCCACCAGGCTGATAATAAAATATCGATCACATCCCAGAAGCCAAGAGGACATGCACCTGTCTTTGGTGGAGGAAAATATTAACATTTCAAGTGCCTGACCACTCATCGGGGTTTCAAAATGTCCAGTAGTCTAGATCTTAATGAGATATTCTCCTAATATAAAAGGCACATCAGATGATCTAGAATTCAGGAAGAGACACTGTACATTTTCAGTCCCTTTGCATGCTGGAGGAAACACATTCCACATTTGGGTATACTGTTATAACCCATGTATAAACTCAAAGAGTTTTTTTTTTTTTTCTTAAGATTTATTGATTTGTGCATGTAAGAACTGGGGCTCAGGCCAGAGGTGCAGAAGAGGCGAGAGGATTCACCAGAGACAGAGTGGGCAGGTTGACTGAAATACACTGCTGAGGGGAGCAGTGGGTGAGACAGAAGAGGTCTGCGGCAACCTGTGGGTCAGCTCCCTGGCCAGAGATCAAACTCATGCCAAAGCCACTGCAACTAGCTTTGTAGTGCTGGACTCTAACCTGCTGCACCACCAAGGACGGGCCTACCCCAAAGAATTTTTATACAAGAACAACGTCTCTGAAGCTTTATGTTTCACAAGTTGCTCTGATGTTCTCCCCTGAAGCTAACCCAGCTCATCCATTCAACGGTGCTACGAGTACCTGTGGCAAATAAAGATGCTCTATGGAGACACTGAAAAGCCCCATTAGAAGAATCACAGTAAAGCTCTCAAGAGTTTGGGAGTCAAGGCATTTCCTTCTTTTGCTGAGAACTGTTTCCGCTTGCTTGGTTTGGTTGTTTTACGCCTGTAAGCTAGCACGTGACTCTGCAGCCCAAGTTGCCCAAGAGGAAGAAGTGTGATCTGAGCTGCCAGACTACAGTTTGGGATTCTCTAGAAGTAACTTACCTGACCATCAAGTGGAAGTGATCTATTGGAAATTAGCCTCAATCTAGCAAAATCTCAAGAAAGATGGCTGGGAAGAATCCAAGTACACACAGCACCTACACTTTGACATCCCCCAACTGCTTCCACTGAAATTTATGTTCTCATGGGGAATGAGTAGAGGATGAAGGATAAGTAGATTTCAGTCCAGTTCATGGATAAGGAAGGGTAGGTAGAAGTCAGGTCGAGTTAATGGATGGGCAGCACAATAGTTAGACATAGAGCAGAACATAATGCCAAGGCAAGCAAGCCCCATTCGGCACCCAGAAGTGTCAGGAAGCCGTGGCAAGTGAAATGCGTAAGTGGCTGAATGCACTAGCACGGGAGACTCACCCTGTGTGGCATGAGGGTGCCATGAGCCTTTCTAGGTTTGTAGGCAAAAGCTAGTCACTGGCATGTTAGGGACAGGGAAAAAATGAGCCTGCAAGATTTGTGATGTTGGGGTGCCAGAGAAAATTCCCCTACTCTCCTGGGTTTTCTGAGGCTGGACATTCGACAAATTAATGCCAGAGAGATTAGAAGGATTAAAAGCCAAAACTGATTAACAAAATAATTTACACATCTATAAATTATAAAGTAAAATGGGAAAAGGTTTGCCAGAGGTTTGCAGCCTGTGTTAAGGGACCTGGGTATCCAGAAAGAGGAAGGGGTTAAGCATGATGGGGGTGACTCCACCTTTAAAACTAAAAAGATGAGTTTCTTATAATGTCATGTTCACCGACAGCCTTGGGCCAAGAGAGCAACCCTCAAACCACACTGTTCCATAGGGAGGACAAAAGTGGAGGAAGGGATGAGCTCTTCTAAGATGATGTGGAAAGGAAAAAAGACCAAGGAAAAGTCAGGAGTTTCACTTTAGCCTCTAGGCCTCCATTGCTGTTAACTCAAAATAATGTGCATCCTTTCAGTAATGGCAGCAGCCTGAGCCAAGGCTTTCCAGGTCTGGATGGAAGGTCCGGCAGTATACACAGGCACTGGGAAAGGCATTTTCTGCACATTTTACAAGTCTATGTACCCCTTTTGGAGACACCTAGCCACAGTGACAAGAAGATTCTTCAATGTCCCAGGCAGACATGTATGAATCTTCCCACGCACATGAACTCCTCATTGCTTGTGTCATTCATCACATTTCACCTGCACTGGTCTAGTTTTGCTAGTGTTGGGAGAGGGGGGTTTCTGGTTTTCTTGTTTTGGTAGTAAAATTGAGTGACTTTTAATAGCTTTAAGATCTTGAGCTTATTTGATTATAAGAACTATCCTAGAGAGAGCATACTGACTGCTCAAAAGCAATAAATGACTGCTGATTGTTGTAGATACTTGGAAAAAAAAGAACAGCTATTTGACATGCAAACAAAGTGCAATTCTATTGAGCAAATAGCCAGCCTTAGTCTAGGTCTTAGGACTTTAGAGCCCTTGTGAGGAGAAAATGAGGAAATTAGAAGCACTGTCCCCAAAGCAAAGAAACAGATTTTACATTATATAGAGTAATGCTGTGTAAAATACTGAGCTCTTCCTAAGTTATTGTGTGAGCTACTGGATTTAATAAATGGGTATAGAATTCTGAATTTCAGTTCAATTCAAAAACACCCACTAAAATCTGGTACTTGTTAGAATATATACTAATCAAAGATAAATAACAGTTTCCTCCAGTATAGAGTTTTTCAGTTTAACTGCCAATTATCAAACAAAAAAAAGTAGAAGACTTTAATTTAAAAGGTAGAATAATGATGGCCACAGTGGTAGAAGTATTTTTTTCATTTTCAATCAACAGGTGGCAATTTTTACCATGCCAGGGGAGATGTGTAGAAATTTCTTTTCATCCAATCATTTTTTAAATAGATGCTCAACAATCATGGAGGGATACTCGCTGAATGTATTTTTTGTCTTCATTGTCCAATACAGTAGCCACCGGTTACAGGTAGAATTTACACTGAAATTAAGTGAAATAAAAACTTCAAACCTCAATCTTACTACTGACATTTAAAACTTCTTTTATCTGATGGTGATAGAACACTTACCATAAGGTCTTACCTCATAAGAAAATAATAGGACAAAGTTCAGTTTTGTTGGTGGGAGACATGGGGAGTCAGGAGTCCTAAGCCACAGTTATAATACCTATTGAGCAATGAGAAGCATCTAGACATCAGCTGGTCCGCACTGTCTTGTTGTCCAGCACAGACCCTACTGTGTCTAGGGTCTGCCACAGTGTATTTTACAAAATGTCCTGTCACAGAAAGAAAGGTTCCTGGTGTTGCAGAGTGAACCTCTCTACTAATGAATGACATAGAAGTACTACTGCATTTTAAAGGTGATGCCTGACGATCTTTTGTATCCTCAATAGTGTATTTTGTTCTGTTTAATTGAATATATATTCTATTCTGTTGTAAAATTAATGGCTTACTTTCTTTTCTCTTTCTGGTTGTAAAACTAATGCCTTACTTTCTTCTGTTGGCGAGTGTCTCTTCACCATTTCTTGCAGAGATCTTCATTCCATGCTTTTCTTTGCTCCCATCAAAAGAACAACGGGGGCTTTGTGTGGGTGTTCTCACTGGATGGCCACAAATTTTATTTACCTTTTAAACAAAAAAATAATAATAATAGTAATTAGAAGACAATTAGAACCATGTTCCAGTCTTTCTGAGAATGCAATATTTCCTACATACCAAAATATTGACATGTTCTTACTTATACCTTACTATTAACCTTGCAGACATTTAATACTTGTCAGTTTTTGAAAAAGGGATATATATTCTCTGCATAAAATGACAACATGATAAACTGATACTACATACATTTACATATGTTGTGTGCATATATGTGCATAACACACAAACACATAAGCAAAATCAGACAGGTAACTATATTAGTTAAACTAACAGTCACGTTAATAGGTCTACTTAGCCAAAGTATGTAGATAAATCACATATTTGTAAATGTTTTTAAAACAAATGCAAATAATTTGCTATTGAATGTGTTGTCTCTTTCTAAATGACTTCTAAGGGTAATTTTCTTCCTACTGTCCTTTCTTAGAAGTGAAAGGGAATATATTCATTTAAAGAGCTCATTTTATAATCATTCCATAAGTTCTTCTTCAATGTGGTTTGATTTTGTGAGTGGTGTCATAGTCCTTTAAAAATTTATTTGAGTGGAAAATTCAGTTTTTGTCAATATTTACCTAGCAAATATATTTATGCAATTATATAATATCATTGAAAAATTAACTATGTATTACCATGTAAAGCATCAAAAGTATCTCAAAGATTAAAGAGGCAGAGAGAAGTATAACTGAAAATACATAAATGCACTGCCTGGGAATCAGGAAATTATGGTTCTTGTCCTAATGTTTCTTTCCTAATGCTGACATCTTGAAAACAGTGGCAGAACTCTTTGAAATTGATTTCCTCATACATAAAATGACTAAAGAGAATAAATTATTCTAAAGTTCCCTTAACACTCTAAATTCGTTTGCTTTCCCATATAATGAATATCAAAAGAATTATGAGGAATTAAGAATCAATTCAATTATTTAACCCACATTTATTTCCCCTGTAAAAAAAAATTGCAAAGAACATGTATTAAATATTATAAAACACACAAGATGAAAAACTGCCTCCTCCCCCAGCAGATTTTGAAGGAAGAAGAATACTTCTTCCAGGGCCCTCCCCAGTTAGCACATAGCAATACGCCACTGCAGCACAAGTTCAATCCCCAGCCAGGGAGCTGGCCCACAGGGCGCAGCAGAAATCTCCTGTCTTGCCCGCTGCTCCTCTCAGCAGTATATTTCAATACATCTGCCTGTTCTGTCCCAACTCTCTCTGGTGAATCCTCTTACCCCCCACACCTCTGGCCTGTACTATACCCCAGTTCTTGTATGCATAAATAAATATTTTTAAAAGAAAAATACTCCTTCCAAATATCAAAATGCAAACTATATGTATCCAAAAAAAAAAAAGACGGGACCAATAAGGTATCATTGCCATCTAGAAGGTAGATGGTGGGTGGGTCATTTCCAGTTGGGGGTGAGGGATAAAAGGAGAAATCAGGAAAGAATTCTTCATGGGATTAAACTTGGCAAATTAGTTGGACCTGAGTGTGTTTAGTTTATTTCATTTCAACCCACTTCAGAATTTAAAAGTAGTTATTACACCCCAATTTTATTAAATCCTAGAGAAATGACTAGGACTACGGGATGGCTGATGCATCCAGCTGAGATTCAGACATAAAATATAGCAATTGTGAGCTCCCCCTGGTGACACACGGGTTAAAGCACCGCATCATGAAGCTCCCCGAAGCCACTGCAGCACGAGTTCCATCCCCGGCCAGAGAGCTGACCCACGTGGCGTGGCAGACCTCTCCTGACCCACCCGCTCTCCCCTCAGCAGTGTACTTCCTCAATCTGCCTGTTCTACTTCCCACTCTCTCTCTGGTAAATCCTCTCACTCTCCTGCACCTCTGGCCTGTACCCCAGTTCCGTGTGCATACATAAATATTTTTTTAAAAATAGCAATTACAATACAAGGTGATAAGAACCACCACAAAAATGCATAGGAAAAGATAACTGTGTCTTCAAAAGTGGACAGAGAAGACTTTCAAGAGGTCATGTCAAGACAGTCAATTAAATGTTGAACTAGGAGTCTGTCAGGTGGGACAGAACAGAAAGCAAATTCTAAGAAATAGTAAAAAAGCAAGGAAGTGTACCACAACTTTACTTGTTCACAAACAACAAAACACAGATTAAAAATAATGGCAAGGCCCTCCCTGGTGGCGCAGCGGGTTAAAGCACAGCACTAAGAAGCTTAAGCCACTTCCGCATGAGTTCGATCCCCACCTGACCCGGAGGTGACCACATGGCCGGGCACTTCGTGGCTCTGCCTGTTCTGCTCCCCACTCTGTCTCTGGTGAATCCTCTCACCCTCCGCATCTCTGGCCTGTACCCCAGTTCTGTATGAATAAATAAATAAATCTTTAAAAAAAAATAATAATGGCAAAAAAAGCGGCAAGACACAAAATTTCATGACTTGTGCGGCAAGCTAAAGAACTGTCTCCCACAGGTGAAGAACAGGTACAAGGGTCCAAATAGGACAATGGTAGCTTAAGTTTTCCACAAGAATAAAAACCATGGCAGCAGGTAGGAAACCAAAGAAGATCCTTCAGGGCAGGAATGGTGATCACAAGGATGGGGCAGAGGTCACAAGGATGGAGAAAAGTAAACAGCAGACAGGAACACATGGGAGGGAATGTGTAGCATGAAGAACTTAGTTGATATGGAATGCCCAGGGTGAAGAATACTGATGAAAGCAGAGGAAAAATCTTGAGAGGTAGGTGAATAAAATCACAAGGTTGATAGAGGAAAAAAGAATTAAAAAAAAAAATGGGTTTGCCTGAAAAGAAAGGGACAGGAAGGATTATAGTTAAAGGAAATTATATGTGAAATTATGTTTGAAAATTGTGCTTAAATTACCTTAAAACTGCCTTGGACAGTTTTTAAATGCCAAGTTAAGAGGTTTTGTTAATTAAACAAAATCACTGGTGGCTGCTGAAAAGCAAAATTCCAGAGTGTTTTGAACTTGCCAATCTGGGGAAGTTGAACTCAAAATTAAAACTATTAAAGACAGAAAAACTGTTAATCACCTCCTAAAGTCGTTCTGAGAAAACCACATTTTATTCTGAACTATGGAGGTCACAGGGTCCATGAAGAGGATTCATGAATTACAGAGGGGAGCAAAAAATCAACAGGGACAAACCAGACTACAGACAATACCATAAGCTGGGGGAACTGTAGAACAACAAGAATTCTCACTTGTGGCTAGTTAGAATGCAAAATAGTGCAGCTACTTAAATAGTTTGGTGACTTCTTACAAAATTAAAATTACCTTAATGAGTAGAAACTCACATCCACACAAAATCAGCAACAAGATGCTTATAGTAGCTTTATTAAAAATTGCCAAAATTTGGGAACAATGAATATGTCCTTCAGTAGGACATAAATGGAAAGTGGTGGTGCATTCAGATTGTGGAATATTACACAGCTGAAAAGAAGTGAACCATCAAGCCATGAACAGACATGGAGACAACTTAACTGTCTATCACTACAAAGCAAACTAAGTCAACCTGAAAGGACCATCTAGATGACATTCTGGGAAAGCCAAAATGATGGAGGCAGTAAAATAATCAATAATTGGCAGAAATTGTGGAAGAGGGAGGGATAAATAGGCAGAACACAGAGGATTTTCAGAGTAGTGAAACTACACTGTGATGCTATTAGAACAGATGTACATCACCACACATTTTCCCAATCTACTGTGTACAGGTCACCAAGAGTGAAACTAACAGAAAGCTGCTGACTTTGGGTGATAATGTGTCAATGAAGAGCCACATTTGTAACAACTGTCTCACTCTGGTAGAGGATGATCGAGAACTGGGGGATGTGTGTGAGAGGAAGGCACAAGAACACATGGGGAATCACTCTACCATCTGCTTATTTTTACGTGAACCTGGAAATCCTCTAAAAAAGTAAAATTTAGTTTGAAAAAATGATTAACAGGTTTGGGCCCTCCCTGGTAGCGCAGCAGGTTAAAGCACAGCACTGAGAAGCTAAAGCCAATTCTGCATGAGTTCGATCCCTGCCTGCCCCAGAGATGACCACATGGCATGGCAGACCTCTCCTGGCCCGCTCGCTGCTCCCCTCAGCAGTGTACTTCGTCGATCTGCCTGTTCTGCTCCCCACTCTGTCTCTGGTAAATCCTCTCACCCTCCGCATCTCTGTCCTGTACCCCAGTTCTGTATGAATTAATAAATAAATCCTTTAAGAAAATGATTAACAGTTTGGTAAATGATTAAAAGTGAGAAGTTAGGGAGTTGTGAGGCCCAGGTGTTAAAAGACTCAAAGTGAATTTACACGAGGCTCAAAAATAGTGGTAGTGGAGTGTAACTACATTAGGAGGTGTGAACATATACAGACTAAAAAAGGAGGACTGTGTCGTCACTGTCAACAATTCTGAGTAAAAGGATCCAAGGGGAGATCATGGAAGCTGAATGTAGAAATGTTTAAGGTAAGGCTGTTTACTGCAGGATAATTTGCAATAAAGCAGAAAAAAAGAGGGAAATGGCTTCTCCATCATGATCCGATGTCATGAGCCACACCTCTCCAGACAAGTCAAGCAACTTCTACCACCTTGGCTTTCTCATCCTTGAAACTTGAGGAAATAGGAGTGACGATCTAAGGGAAATCTCATCTCATCCTGTCCTTCCACGCTGGATTGAGATCTTAACAGCTATTAAACCTGCTTGCCGGGAGAGCTGAATGACCAACCTTACAAAATCTTTATTTCCATTACCACCACTGCTTTTTTTTTTTTTTGCTTTTTTTACAAATACCAAAAGAAAATGTCAAAGCTATTGACTTATATGTTATCTTTGACTGCAGCCAATGGTATAAGCAAACACAGCAGACTCCAATAAACACAAATACATGTCAAAGCCCCAGGCTTGTTGACTAGCTGTCAGGGGCCTACTTCACACTTTACTGAAAGGGAAAGGAAGAGCATCTGACTTCAGCAAGTTTGCCTGTCAC